AGTGGTCAGGATTTTACTAGTAAAAATCGTTATGATGCTCTATGTCTTGATGACAAAGAAATATGTGAAAGAATTGTTGAAAATGTGTCGGGGAAGTGGAAAGTTAATAGGGCTAGTAAAATCATAGTTAAGCCAAGGGTTGTTGCAAATAGTAACATTCAATCAAATAAAGGCAAGGAATTAGGGAAAACGAGTTCTATAAAGGATAAAATCAATACTAAAAATCAATACCGTCATGGTGGACAAAGTTCTAATGGACAAGGTATAACTAGACATATGCCTGAAGAAGGCCCATTGAAAGGGACATTGCTGCTTGGGGACTCCTTGTTGAGGTACTCTGGGGACAAATGTTCAAAAAGTGGGGCTGTAGTTGATATGAATCCAGGGGCAAAAATATCACACATTAAAGAAAAACTTATTACATACAGTTCTGACCAACTTGACTTGATTTATCTCTTTGTGGGAACCAATGATCTTGTAATAAATTATAATGGTGGGCCTGATTATAATGGAGGTTGGGGAAAAAAAGTTGCGTTGCACTCCATGGCTGACCTGCTGAGTGTGGCCAAGTCCGCCTTCCCTAGAGCTAGAATCCTTTTGAACAGCGTCCTTATTCGGAGTGACGTGAGTCATCGAGCCCTTTCACTTTTTAATGAGCAACTATTTCTTATGTGCAACAACTTTGGAGTAGAGTTTGTCGATGCTTCTCGATTGGTTTCTAAGCGCCATTTGGCTCGTGATGGTAGGCATTTAAGTCGTCTTGGAAATCATCTTCTTAGTGAGTTCCTGTGTCAAGCTATGATGAAGTCTCATGAAAACAGAGATTCACAAACAGTCAATGTAACTCCATGTAATGATTCTGTAGTATCTGTCCTATCTAGTCTTCCAAGTTACCCGCAACCAATACCTCTGTCGGGAAACGAGACAGGTCAACCCTCTCAAGTTTTAAGATAGCTCATGTTAATTTTCGCTCCCTGAACACTGGTTTCCAGGAGATTTGTACAATTGTGGTGGACTTTCAGTTTGATCTGCTGGGCATTACGGAATCTTGGTTGTCACCTGAGGATTCCTCGAGTGTTTATGACATTTCTGGCTACAATTTGATCCGAAATGACAGAATTGGAAGAATTGGGGGTGGTGTGGCCTTGTACATTAAAAATGGTTTGAGCTTCTCTTCCATGCAACTTCAAAATGTTGATTGTTCCATTGAATATATTTGTGGAGTCGTCAATTTCAAGGACACAAAGTTATGTATCTGCTTTGCATATAGACCACCTTCTGCACCTTATTCTTCTCTTAGCTCATTGTTGTATGCTTTGTTTATAGATCAGGCCTCAGAGGTGGATTCCATCATACTACAGGGTGATTTCAATGTCAATCTGCTGGACATGACAAAACCTGATTCCAAGTATCTGTCATCAATTCTCCAAGCTTTGAACCTAAATCAACTTGTCAGGGAGCCAACACGTGTAACTGAATCCTCTTCTACCCTGATAGATCTTATAATTGTAGAAAAGAATATTAAACTCGATGTTGGAATGATTGACACAGCGAAGATTCTTGATTCTGCTGGAAGAAAAATAACGGATCACAATTTGGTTTTTTGCGATTTTCCATATTGTAAAAAGAAGAGCAAATCGAAATATGTAACTTACAGAAATCTGAAAAACCTTGATGTGGACCTCTTTACCGAACTAGCATCAAAGTGTGACTGGGATGAAATAGCTTCCCTCAAAGAAGTTGATGAAGTTGTTTATGCTCTAAATAATAAAATTTTGCACATTTCCAATTCTTGTGCACCGGTTGTGAGAAGACGTGTAACGAGGAAAAGAGCTCCATGGAGAGACGATCATATTTTGTCTCTGACAAAAATTAAGAACAATTGCCATAAAGCATTCTTGAGTTGTAGGAACAGCTCGACCAGATCTGCTTACACTAAAGCAAGAAACACATTAAACTCGGCCATAAGAAGCGCAAAAAAGCGGTTCTTCTCAAGTCAATTAAAGAATAAGGACCCAAAAGGTTTTTGGTCATCGTTGAGAAGCAATGGCGTACTGGGCTCGAGCAGAGAAAATGAGTGTACCTTCTCTCCTGAGGACTTGAATAAATATTTCTCCGCAATGGGCGGCAAAGGTTGTTTAGACAGGGGCAGGATTGAGTTCTACGCTGAGAACAAAAGTAGCCAAGTGAAGAATAAATTCTCATTCAGTCTAGTGACAGAGAAACGAATCAGGGATGTCATGAACAGCATCACAACCCGAGCTGTTGGTGTGGACGGCATTTCTGTTGATATGGTTAAATCGTTGAGTTATTATTGTGATTCTGCTATTTGTCATCTTGTAAATTTATCCATGACTACTGGCATTTTTCCCAGTGCCTGGAAACAGAGTATTATAATTCCGCTATCAAAAAAGACCAATGCTTCATGTGTTTCTGATTTCAGACCCATTTCAATTCTTCCAGTGCTTTCCAAAATATTGGAAAAAGTGATTGGAGAGCAATTAGTCTCGTATCTTGAGTCAGAGGAAATTCTTCCTAAAACACAGTCAGGTTTTCGAAGGGGGTTCAGCACTAGTTCAGCTCTTCTGAATGTCATGGATGAATTGATTGGTGCAAGAGATAGAAATTGGGGTAGTATTGTAACTGGTTTGGACTTTTCACAGGCATTCGATTCAGTTAGTTTCGATCTTCTGTTAGCCAAACTGAGTTTTTACCAATTTGATAGTCGATCTGTGCAGTGGTTTTCCTCCTATATCCGTAATAGGTCACAACAAACTCGAGTTAATGATCAGGTTTCACATTTTTTACCAAAAGTGTCGGGGGTTCCCCAGGGCAGTTGCTTAGGTCCTATCCTCTTCCTGATTTACACTGCCGACCTTGAGTCACAGCTTAGTCACTGCTCTGTCCATTCTTACGCCGACGACTCGCACCTTATTTTATCTTACCCTTTGGCTGAGTTTCCTGAAGCAGTCACCCGCATGAATAGCGACTTGATAAGTGTTAATAAATGGTCTAATGATCATGGTCTTCAGCTGAATCCTGACAAGTGTTCTGTTTTAAGAATCGTAAACTACTCTGTGCAAAGCCAACACAACAAGGATACTGATTGTGAAGTTCTTCTAAATGATAAGCCGTTGCCTGTTAGCGATTCATTAAAATTCCTTGGTGTCAAATTGGACTCTAGGCTCAATTTTTCTGAACATGTGAGACACATCTGTAAAACTGTTGTTGCTAAATTACGATTATTTAATAGGTTTAGGTTTGTTCTACCAATGTCAACCAAACTTGAAATAGTTCGTGCTATAATTCTTCCATCTATTTATTATGCTCTTCCCTCTTTTGGTAACAGCCTTACTCAAGAGAATATATTCTCACAAGACTTCAGAACAGTGCTCTGAGATTTGTCTTCAACTTAAAAAGGTCGGATCATATCAGCGAGTATAGGTCAAGGGCAAACATCTTGACAGTTAAACAATGCTGTGATCTTCAAACCGTTCTAATTGTTCATAAAACTTTGTTAACGGAGTGTCCCCAATACATCAGAAGGAAACTGGTTTTCAGGTCTGAGGTGAGCGTTCGCCTCACTCGGCAGGAAGGCTTGCTACACTTGCCACGGGTCAGAACGGAATTAGGGAAGAAAGCCTTTTCTTACTTTGGGCCCCAAGCCTACAATGCCCTTCCAACTGACCTCAAATCAGTAAACCTCTCTAGGTTTAAAAGGGGTTTGAAAGATTTATTTTATACCGATAATAATTAGCCAGTTGATCTAAAATGTATTGTTGCAATAGTCTAGTATAAGCTGACCAATTACGTTTAGTTTGACAACAGTTGTATTGAAAATCAAAGAACTGTACTTTGAATAACGCTGGCTAAATAAAGACGTTTTTCATTTCATTTTTTTCATTTCATTTCATTTCATTTCATTATAGATTGGTTTTGTTTTTTATAAACAGAACAGTATTAATCAAACGTATTAATCAGGACAATCTTTTTACTGAGTCATATGATGGTGGATGGTGACTGAATTGTATTGCTTATCTGGAATTCTCTACCTATATACTCAATACAAGGGCTTTCTCTGTTACATCCCTTTTTAGTCGTCATACTCAAATGACTTTTACGATTAAGGTGACAATACTCGTAAGCTAGCACAAGGACTAGGTCCTGTTCATCCTAAAAAGGTACGTCTAACTTCCTTTGGGAATTCGCCTCCCCAAGCCTTTGTTTTATTTCTAGAGGGCACTATCATAGATTAAACTTTTAATCTATGGCACTATCAAAAAAGCCAGTGCTGCGGGAGTATGTTTTATCTATGGTTCTGCTTAAACTCTTTTTAACCCCCTTTAAGGGTTTCAAAATTGTGAATTGTAATTTAACCGCTGATAGTGTTGGATTGTAAACCAAATACAAAACAGTTAATGGAAATGGATTAGTTTTAAGCAGGCTGCTTTCAGATTGAGGTAGGTAAATCGTCACTTTTCATGGATGTAATTCTCTTTAGCCATCTGTAGACGATAACTTTAATTTTAATGTAAATTAGTAACTGTTTCAACCAACTTAATATTTGAAAAGTGAAAAGGGTAACCGTATGTCATTATTTGTTCGAGTTTTGAACCCTGAGTGTGACATAGACATATCTTCAAAGCTGCGTGAACATTTCTATTTTCAACGTATTTTAGATTGGTTTTTGGAGCTAATGGTATTCAGATTATTCGGATCCTGTGCTGATAAATTTGATTAGAAGCTTCGAAGTTATGAGATCTACCCGGACAGTCTGCTAAACTCTGGTTTCATGGTATGAATCCAATGCAGCCTTCTAAGGAAAAAGGAATCATCTCCTTCATTCCACCATTCCTGTTCCATTTCAATTTCCATTCCAATCCAATTTCAATCGACCACGACCGACGACGACGATTGGTGCATTCGCATTGGTTGGTTTTTGGTCTGGTCGTTCCATCGTTCCATCATTCTCATGTCATCTATTTCTATTTCATTTTCTATTCTCTATTCATTGTCATCCCATTCTTGATTCTATACAATATTACAATACTGAATAGTGAATTTACAGTGCGAGTGCACACTGTGACAGAAGTAAACTAGGCAACGTCTGATAATCTAATTCTAAATCTGATTTCATTCATCCATCATCTTATCACTCTCGTCATATTCGGAAGAGCCGAAAAAGTAACAACAAAAGGTAGGCCTACCTAACTTCTTAGTTTTTTAAATGGGTAGAAAAATTAATTTGTCCTAGGCCTATTCGAATTTATGAAAATATAAGTAACAATTTCTTATGAAATGGTTGTTTCTTTGTTCGTATTATGCTAGGCTAGTAGGCCTAAGTTAAAGTTGTCAAGTTATGTCTAAGTTACCCTCATAAAAAGTATAGATATGCTAACTTAATTATTTGTAGATGGATAGATTTGATTACCAATTGATAGAAATAATTACTATTTCCAAATTTATAAACAAAGTTAGGCCTAGGTACTGCTATTTTAGACATTAAAAGCTTCCATGATTGTGCCTAGGCAGGCCCGTTTTTGACCCTGTCAGCGCCCTAGGCACATCGGTACTTCAGTATTAAACGGAGGCCACATTTTGTCAGCGCGCTGCGGCGGTTATGTTAGGTTGGGTTATCATAATAGAAAGTATCGTTCGATTCATAACGAAGCAAGGAAAGTCCTACACACATAATATTTACGATAACCCAACCTAACATAACCGCCGCAGCGCGCTGACAAAATGTGGCCTCCGTTTAATACTGAAGTACCGGCACATCTAATAGTAGCGCCCCTTTGCAATATATATATAACAGGGTGTCCACAGACCGGGAAATCCGGGAATCATGCGAGAGATTTTTGAACCTTGAATTTTGTAACTTATTTCTACCTGGAGTTTTCAATTTACCCTGATCGCACATATCATGATGGACAATATAATGATGTCTTCACGGCCGCGAGGGGTGATTAGAATTTTATCGCAATGGCGCAAGACGATGATAATGGCCACACGAAAACGTAAAAAAAATTTGCCTAATTTCAGTAAGAGGATGATGATCTCCACAAGACCGTGGCAGATGATTACCATTTTGCCACAATCGCGGGAGGTGATAAGTATGTCCACACAACCGCGGGGGACGATATGATGTCTTCACGACCGTGAGGGGTGGTCAGAATTTGACTGCGATCGCGCAAGACGAGGATAATGTCCTCACAACCGCGGGAAAATATCAGAATTTTGCCTCATTTGCGGTAGACGATGATAATCTACTCACAACCGCCGGATATGTAGCCTATTGCCTCGATCATGGAAGACGATAATTTTATGTACGGTACAAACGACCTGACTGCAGAAAATAGTAGGCCTAAGAGTCTTGCCGCAAACGCGGGAGACGATTACGATGCCTACACGGCCGCGAGGGGTTTTTAGAAGTTTACCGCAATAGCTTGCAAATACTACCACAAAATTTTTTTAATTTCCAAATTTTTGACGCCCCCCAAAAAAGCCAATTGCCTCGCGCCCTAGGCACGTGTCTACCGTGCCTATTCGGTAAATCGGCCCTGAGCCTAGGCCTAGGCCCTATTCTAGCTAAATCCATGATTATCTTACTAACCTAGCCTATCTGGCATTCAAACAAAAATGGGTAGACTATGGAATTTGCTGACCTGGTTGTTAGTCGAACCTAACACTAGCCTACGTCTATTACTATTTGTATGAATTTGGCAGATTTAACTTATTGTTTTTTTCTAAGTTCAGTAAAGGCTAATTTAGCTCTTAACGAAACTTAAGCCTTTAACCCTAGAAAGGTATCGTCAATTACTGAAGGGTATCAATATGTAAATTTGACGTACTGCCAGCAGTTTTACTACTATAGGCTACACAAGCCAGCTATTTTACCATACTCTAAGGGTACCTATTGACTAGTAAGTTTGCGACTAACTTAGCAAGGGCACAAAGAAACACACTACAACCCAACCAAGGCAGCCATCAAAAGGCAAATGACTGCTGAGAACAGTGCTGGAAGGAGGGTAGCGTCGGTTGAGGGGGTATGTCTAGGCTACTATGAAGTCAAACGAGACGAAGCCCGCGGGTAATAGCTAGTATCATATTACCTATTTACTTTTCAGTTCCTGTTATGAGAACAGTTAACTTAACGTATGCATGTTATAAGTTATTGTATTTAAGCCTATTAATTGGCGACTAGGATAAAAAAAGAAACTAGGCTACACTTTATTTTATTACCTTCAATTTACATTTTATTATTATTATTTTTTTTTTTTACATGGAAAAATGGACTTTAATGTGATAATTTGCATATTACATAATAAAACATTAAATTTTAAAATACTAGATACTTGAGATGTATAAAAAAAATAAAATGAAAGCTCAATAGAGCAATGGGGGAATTGCGGCACCGTCTTAAAATTGAATGCTTTGAATTTTTCGTCTAGTTCCCCGTAGCCTAAGCGAAACTGCTCGAATGATGGAAAGCTGGCTTTGGATCCTCAACCATCCGATAATTTGGGAGTATGGTTTTCTCCATTTTACAGCCAGGGCTTCGCTTGTTCTCCTCTGAAATGCTTCATATTCTTTGTGGGGGACTCTTCCGTGGAACATATTAATGGTGTGAAGCTTCCTCTGATGTCTTCGGCTGCTTTGTCATATTTATTGTTTACATTTTATTATTTACCTTAAGTTAATTACCTAACTTATTTTAATTGTTTGTGTATTCATTACTCAACCACCTATGATGGAAATATTACAAAACATTGATTCAATAGTAGATTTGAAGAAAGTAGTAAGTTAGTCTATTGATGTTTCCAAAAGACCAGATTACAGCCAGACAGCTGTAAAAAATGTAATTATACTTTTCTACAGTTTAGCATAAATGTTGGCCTAAGTTAGTCATTGTTTTCTTTCACTAAAAGCAGATATCGGTGTATTAATTCATAATTTGGCCCTAGGCGCTATACAATTAACCCGTTAGGCCTACATATATTTCTTTTCTTAGCAATGTACCGGTATAATATTTTCCACAGTTTGACATAAAAGATTTAAAAAGAAATTTTTGTTTTACTTTCGTATCTGTTTTTCATAGGCTAACTATAACTCAAACGACTTAAGCCTATGTTTTTGAAATAATTTCAGTCATAAACTGTACCTACAAAAAACTCAAATAAAATATAGAAGCTGAATAAGGGTAACTTTAGGCCTACGTAATTTTAAGATAAGCCTACCAGTACCTATAACAATAAAGAGTATAAAGTTGTTGAAAAAATTAGCGTCACTCTCATCGGGGTGACAACATTTTAGTACTTTGTGACCTAAGTTTGGACATGTTATAAACATCAGAATGTAATATAACATTAATATCTAGTTAGCTTGGAATATGTATTGCTATAAAACACGAATTTCAAAGACTGTCAAATAGCGGCAATGACAAAAAAACCTCGGGGTGAAAGTTCTCACGGACGACCCAACTGGTGTCGCCCCGATAGGGGTAACATGGCAGCAAACGTTTTTTAAAAAAAGTTAACCTAAAAATTTACAACAAACACTCTTGTTGTAAAGTAAAAATTATGAAACCATACCAATTAATTCTTACAGTATAGGCCTATGTGTCTATATTGTATTATAAAGTTTGATGAAGTTCTGACGTTTAGGTTCAAGGCATATCGTGGAAATTTTCAAGGTCATGAGATGGTTTCTTAAAAAGGAGTTTTTTACCTTCCCACTGTCATAAAAACATTTCTTAACGTGCTATTTTTTTGGGGGTTTCACAGGAAAACGTAGAATAAAACAAGAGAAATTTAGATAGGCCTACTCTGTGTTTTTTAAGTAGGCTAAGTTAGTTACTTTTCTGTAAAGTTCCAAACTTGAGTGTCTAAACTTTTTTCCTCTACGGTAGGTTGGTTGGTTACTGTTTGACCGAAGCCTAACTAGTGCATGATATACTTCTTTCCAATAGATTGGCCAGATAACATAAGTTGTGTGTGCTACATTATCAAGAGTTCTAAGGGCATCCTTTTTTTATGAATCATCATCTGTTTGTTGTTCATAAAACTAGGCCTAGGCCTATTGACAGTTGTAGCCCTAAGTTCATCACATTCATTACCTACACTTGATTGTTTCAGGTTCAGGTGTATATAATTAATTGTTGAAGCCACAATGTCGGACCAGCGAGACTTGCTAGAAATGCGGTTTAAAAGGTATCTCCACTACGGAAGTGAACAGCCTATCTATAAACCAGGGGACAGATTTCACCACAAGAGTTACACCGAAGAAAATATACCTTCTTTAAAAAAACTGATTGAAGAAGACGAACCTGAAAAATTAATTGACACTATGGTCAAGGTTTGGAAGTTTTAAATAAGTTTTACTAATTAGTTTTACCTTTGTAGTTAGGGGAACGTTTGTATTTTAACACTTAAGTTTCAGAAAAAAATGTTGTATCTTTTACTAGCTAACTTCAAATAGGCTAAATATATATTTCCTCAAATTTAATATTAGGCCTACCTATGGTCTAATAAGAATAAACGCCTCTCATTGGACTATCCGTTATCCGGTCACTTTTCAGAATCATGTTTTCAACCTATGGTCTTATAAGAATAAACGCCTCTGATTGGACTATCCAGTCACTTTTCGGAATCATGTTTTCAACTCTTTTATGGGTTAGTTGCATAAACACTGTAACTTATCTTGTCTTTTCACCTAAGTGCACTCCTGATTTGTGACATAACTTTGCTTTTCTTGTTTACTAATTGTTCTTTCCGCAGGTAAAAACTGATGGAACTTCTCTGTGGCCAGACGCAATCATATTTGCATATGCGTACTGCGTCTGCTCCAACAAAGTAGTCCTTCAAAATGCAGCTTACAAGGTTATCCGAAAAGTGTGTAGATCACCAAACGATATTACTCTCTTTGTCAAGTTTTACAGAGAATTGAGAGGTTCTAAAGGTAGGCTAATTATACTTAGGTTGTTTAAATTACCTTAATAGTTTTAAAATTATTTTACATTTTGTTTTGTTGCCTATTTGCAATCACAATACTATCCGTTTAAGTTGAAACTATTGTAGGCACTAAATAGTTTTAATTCTTTAAAATATTGTAAATATCACACAGTAATGCCATTACATTTTATTTCTTCAAAAAAGCAATTCATATACACCTTATAAGAAGCAAAATCTAAAAGAGACCAGTCAAACTGTATTTTGCCGCTGAATCAAACTTTGTGTGGCCGCCACTTGCTAGGCGCTAACCTTTCGCTCTCACTCTCTCTCTCTACGCTGATTCTCTTTGTCACTCACGCTGGTCATGTGCTACTCGGATCTTCAAAAGAAAGTACCAAAGTCAGCGCTCTATTTGCACCGCCATACTGCGACGATAGTAGCACCTTTGCTACCTAGCGGCCACTGTGAGAACTCAAATATCGCAGACAGAATTTTTAACACAGGCATTTCACTTTTTACTAGGTTTATTCATTGTTTTATTTTTATTCATTTTATTTTATTCATTGTTTTTATTCATTGTTAAGTGTTTTAAAACCATATATTTCCTTTTGATCAAGGGTACTTTATAGCCTATTCTTGTTAATTTGGAATTCTTGTTAATCTGACATCCCCTAGATTCCACATCAATGACAGCTTGTCCAAATGATCACATAAGCATGCAAACCCCCAATGGAATACTGAGAAAAAACAGTAATCACTGATAACTCCACCCCATCTCTGAACATGATTATCTGCAGAACTGGGGGTTTTTCGTGTCAACGGTATTGTCGCTTTGTAAATTTCTGCCAAACTGTTTCCCCATACTTTGAAGAGTCATCTTCAGTGGCTAGGCTGAATCTGAGTCAGGAAAGTCTGTCCAGGTGTATTTAGCATCATAGGTGTGGTCATCAGCATTGCACTTGAAATGCAGGAACGCCCACCATCTCTAGATTTTTTTACTAAATTACTGTTTCTTGAACAGAAGTTTTGTTAGGGATGGACGGGTCTAGAAGTTTCGGGAAATTAAAAATCTCATTCTACAAGACAAGAAAAAAAAGTGAAAAACGCCTGCAGAAAGTCAATGCAATACCCACAATACAGGAGCGTGTTGTTGTTGCGTTTCCTTTGCTAAGGGGTTTTTATAAAATTAATTTACACGTAAATTTTGTTTTAATTGTTTTATAATTTTTTTTTACATAGCAAATGATTAGATTTTTTGTTAAGTGTAAGCAGTGTGAGATATCGCGGTTTGTGTTGTTTGTAAACATAGCCAAAATAAGTCACTCCAAAATCATTCTAAAAATAACACAAGACTGAAAAACTGTTACTTAACTAGTAAGGCTGATGTTTTATACTGATAAATTTAGTATTTTTCAAAGTTCTACTATTGTAATTTAATACTTAACTAGTAAGACTGATGTTTCAGACTATTTGTATTAATCAATGTTGAACTATATCTTAACTGATATCACCATGTTTCCTTTGCGTAATAGTTATTTTTAACAAGGTAAGATTTGTTTTCTTATACTGATGTTTTTTATTAAAAGTTTTTTTAATACTCTTGCCTATTATAATCATTTTTTAAATTTTACCAATCACCTGTCATAAATCAGTAGGTATATAACAATGTAACAAAATCAGGTTAAAATGGCGAATGTGCATTTCCCGATATCTATGAGAAGGACAATCCTGACTCGATCTCATCTCAAAACTTTATTAGAAATAAAATATCCCGTCTCGTTTTGTCTCGAACTAAAAATCCAATCTCGTCCATCCCTAGTACAAACACTAAAATTTTTGCATTCTTTAGTAGGGATTCTTTTTTATTGTTCCGTATTTCTTTCAGAAACATTTTTATGATTTTGAAACCAAAAAATGAAAATTGTTTTTCCTCATCAGGGCTTGTGAATCTCTTAAAATAAAAAATCACCAATAGCCACTATCCTCCATCTATTGTATTTTGAAGATTGGTCTGCACGGAATATCTAGATGTTTTATAATGTAGGCTAATTTTTTTTTATTAAGCTATGAAATACATCGTAATGAACGTGTTTAAACTAGAATGCACTTTGAGTTCAAATGTTTGTACTTTATTTTACAGGAGGTGGGAATGGCTTTAAGAAAGCGATAGCCTCATGGTATCTGGTGTGGATGCCGTTTGACTTGGCAGATATTCTATTTAAGCAGAAGAGGTACCACGGCTGGACACATTTAGATGTACTACGACTGGCGCACGTCAAGCCAGTGACGATAGGTTAGTAGACTGATAACTTTTTTTATTATAGATAATAATCTACTTACGTATGCCAGTAGGTGTCAATTGTAGATAATTATGCTGTACATGTTTCAAGCCTAGTACGGCTCATCTTCAGCAGCATTCTTGTATGTAAAAATATTTCACATCGAGAGATGATTGTCGACTATTTACATATATACACAAACACAGAACATTTTAGCATGCTATTTACACTTATTTTCGTAGCGTACGCTCGTTTAGGTAAAACTCGACCGGACGACATTTGAGTTTTACCTAAACGAGCGTACGCTACGAAAATACGTGTAAATAGCATGCTAAAATGTTCTGTGTTTGTGTATATATGTAAATACAAGAATGCTGCTGAAGATGAGCCGTACTAGGCTTGAAACATGTACAGCATAATTATCTACAATTGACACCTACTGGCATACGTAAGTAGATTATTATCTATAATAAACATATTAAAGGTGTCAAGGCTGAATAATTTGACTGATAACTTGTGTTGACAAAGCCCAGTGTAGGCCCTCACCAACAAATTAATCTACCCGTACCGAAATAGTTCTTGCCTACTAATCAAATGATTGCTGGCTGACATGCCATTACTGTTGAAGCGAGTTTTAGAATGATAATGAATGTATTTGAATTGAACTTCTGACTAAATTTAATATAATTTAGTCTTTTCTTTCTAATAGACTTTTCAACAAACAAAACTGAAAGGACAAGTTGTTGTAACAAAATCTAGAGGAGATTATACCGACTATAAAACACTCTTTTGAGGGACTCATTCAACTATGTTGTTGTAACAAATAAGCTACCATACCTTATTGATCGAAGCTACCATGTAAATGGAATGTCAACATAATCCAAAAGTCAACAGTTAATGGTTTGATTCTATTCCTAAGTGTCTCCTCTTTAATTTAGTCCAAAATCGTATATGCCAGAATTACAGTAACAAGTTTTGTTTAATTTATGTTTTTTTCCCACTTAAGTAAAGCATTCACAAGGAGCGGTCATGGCTTAGTTATTCTTTTTTCTTTGTTTTCTTTTGTTTTTCGGAAGAAAGAAGAAACTGTAAAATTTAGTGGGGGAGGTTAAATTAGGTTAGGTTAGGTTGAGAGTAGTTAACGCCAGGGAGCCTATGCATATTATTAAAATATTTTGGATTATTATTTTTTTTTAATTTCCATACTCATAAAAATAGCTATGGATTACATAAATTTATGTAGTGCCTGGTACAGCTTCATACTACCCTGCCTGTACTTGTTACAAGAGAAATGGCTTATTTATCTAGTTTGTGTTTTATGTGACATCTGTTAATGTGCTTTGTTTTGAGCTTTTAATGCACATCCTAAAAGTTGTGACGATGTTTCCTGTACTGAAAAATATTACAAGTGCAGTCCCAAACGTTTTCCGAGGATAGCTGCCTACAATGGGTGGGTAAAGTTCCAGGGTAGAACGTCGCCACTCACCAAAAGCGGGTCTATTCAACTTTATTCCAAAACACCGCACAACTATCCCATGACACTCATGTCAGAAATCTCGTGCACAGGACACCAACTCAATTACTGTCTGCGATCCACGCCTTGAATGTCCGTCCTGGACTATCCTGAAAATCTAGGATATCCAAGGCTTATCGGAACTAATAATCCGGGTCAAAGGGGTTTGCTCGCTTCACCGCCGCCGCTTGTTGATGTCAACAATAGGTATGTGGTTATAAAACAATATCTTACACCACAAGGAAAAATAGCTCTTTACAAATTTCTTGTATGTATCATTCTGATAATGGTTCAACAGCTGAAATGCGTATAATCCATAAGGACCCTTTTGCCATAAGGCGTCAACAACAACAGATAATTTAACCCTGTCAGAAAATTTTCCTAAAATTATGTATTTTTTCAGAACAAACCGTTTTATTGAAATATGCAATAAAAGGCGCTAAGCGCACCACAGAACAATACAAAGACAGTGACAATGAACAAGTGAAAGAGCTGTTGGAATACATGAACTCTGTGGAAAGCTTCCGAAGGGTCTCGGACCCAGAAGAAGCTGCCAAGCGTGTGGGTAGAGAGCTTCACAACATTGAACGGGTACCCAGTGGTCTTCTGAAGTATCAAGAGGTAGGTTTATGCTTAGTTTATAATGTGGTAAGATTTGTGTGATAGGGTTCTAGATTAAGATTTAAGATAAACAAGAGGCCACCAACCCCTGTGGTTAGATGTGTGTTGACAAACTGAATCGTCCATCCAGTGAACAGTAGATCCTTACATTCTTGCTTGGAATCAAACCAGCGACCTTCGGATTAGAAGACAAGCACTTAGGAGTTACCAACAGGCTACCCAGACAATTGTCACTATGTCACATAGACACTCTCACTTCCTCCATTAGTTGTTCTATCTTTTCCTAGCAAGCACCAATAAACGGGAAATAATACCACTTGTTTGGTATTAGCGGTTTAGCAATTTTAAACTTATAAATGCGGGCAGACAAAATTAAACTTAAAGGTTTGTGAAGCTACCAATACCTATACTGAGGTCTGGGAGGCCTTGGTGTGGTCCAGGGATGTCCGAAGCAGGTCTAAAGGTACGTTGTCACTGGTGCGGCTGGAACTGCAGTCGCTGGACGATGAATTTGGTACTAAACACCACTCAACACACCCACTGGTAATTAGTACCTACATTACTAGGTTTTTGGGTTTTGACAGTTTCCAGAGGTGCAAGTGTTGAGGGGCAGAGCTAGACAACCTCTGGGCACAGAAATCTTAGCTTAATCTGTCACGGAACAATTTCAATTTGTCGGCTCGCAGATGGACAAAACACAATCTGCAGGCCAAAAGACTCGGTTTATGTTGACCCATTTAAAAGATAGCGATAATTTTGACCTTCCGACAGACAGATGGCTTTAAAGTTATAAAAATAAAAATACATCGAAGTATTTTGTCATGCCTTTGTTGAGCTGTCCTCCTTTTATGATATGTAATTTAATTTTGAGTATAATTCACATTATTAACTTATTTCACAGGTTTGGAATCAACTTATACCCAATATGGATGTGAGGACGTTGCTGGAAAATCTACAAAGAATCTCGATCCACGGCTTCTTGAAGGGTAACAACATAACGGTGATGAGTGTTATGGACGTGTTCAACAACATGAGGAAGGCAGAGGAGTTCAAAGGACATCCGGTCCGAGTCTACATAGAACTGATGACTTACGAGAAGGCTGCCAAGTAGGTTTTATGCACAGTTCCGGTACATAAAAGTCTATTATTTGCTCTTCAGTTATCCGACCTTCTGTGTTATCTAATCCACCCGTGCGGCATCATGTGCTATTTCTGTTATTTTGAAAACGTTATTTCAACAAGTTGAGGGATCGTATGACTAAGACAATTTGCTTCTTATCTCCCAAATATATCTGTAAAATTTTGTAGGTTTGACTCAGTTTGACGTTATTAAATGTTAATATTGATGGTCAAAACCAGAAATCTTGAATCTCTACTAAACCAAAACCCATAAAAACTAATGCTGAATCTCAAATCTCAAAACCCAAACGCAAAACTTATTTAATTGCTTAATTCAAGGCTACGCAAAATACAGAAAGAGTTAAACTTGTTTGTTAAACAATCCAAACTGAAAGAAATTGCCACCTGACCCTGATACAATAACATGAATATGTTGCTAATAATACACTTAAACAACTAACACCAACAATGAATAGCAGATAAATTAAAACGTTCAGTGGCCAATACTAATTTGTGTTATAAGCAATAATGAATTTTCAATCAAACATTGAACTATAGTATATATATCCAATAACTGGATCAAATGCCAAACACAAATGTACACCTGATTTTAGGTACTGTTTGGACATTGCATCAAAAATGGGCCATCCAATCAGTAAAATAACACCAGCCAGAAAACCACCTAAGATAAACTTGATGATAAAGAATGCGCTCATGACTTTCTATCTAACACTTCACAAGGTAAGTCTTTAAAATGCCCAATGCTTTTGTATAATTGATAAAACTTGAGTAATGAGTCGTGAAAAATATTAGTATCACACCTCTCTGCAAGGCTTGAGTTTATAAAAAGTTTCAAGCTTAGCTTAAAAATGAAGAAAACAATGATTAATGATTACAAATTTTGATCAGCAAAGTTATTTAAAATAAACTTAAAGAACACTAGACATTGTATTAGGTAAGTGACGTTTAACCACATCTGAAGCTCATTGGAAACTTAAATTCATGGACAACCGATGAAGCAGAATCTTTTTGCCGTTTTTTTGGACTTTCTTCGACGGACGAAAGTATCTCAAAATCTTCCCTTGCAAAATAGTTTAGGACTTGGTACTTCAGGACTGGATTTTTTTAAAGTTTGTTAAAATAGCTTTGTTCTAATTTTCTTTTAATATTTTTTATAAGTAGGCGATAAATAATTAAAGTTTTGTATTTTTGATTTTTGCTAAGCTTCAATTTACTTATTTATTTCCTTATATAGGCCTATTGGAGTTTTATCAGTAAGGTTTTTATAGGTTAGTAGCTGCAGAGCTGCTTGGCTTAACATTTAGTGGTCTGTGAGCGAGTCTTTTGGGTCAGGCCATAAATTGGGTCGGTCAAAATTTGGATTGCATTGGAAAGTAGGTAGGCCTATTGATTAAAAAAATATTGGTAGCCTACTGGACAATTCTGTAATAATAAAATTTCAAAGAGTTTCGGGCCAGAATTAAGTTGGTCCTAATTTGGACTGCCTTAAAAGTATTGATCAAAAAAATACTAAAACTCTATGCAAAATTCTAAAATAATAAAATTTCAGATGAATAAATCCGCATCAAGTACATTGATTGACTAAAAATAAATTTAGAAATCTCTTGTAATTTGAGACCGTATGAGAATTGTACGAGTTAAATTTTAGTTTTACGGATTCTTTTCACATGTTTTACCCTACAGTCAAAGAGTGTATTATTGAATGTTATGACCACAGTTTCAGAAACCGACCAACCTGCGCTACTTTGTAGCAGTCGACGTTCGATCGAAGATGACCACCGATAGATGTCACGGCTGTATGCACCTAACACCTCTTGGTATGTAACCCATTTGTTTGAAAGTAGTATGTTTTACGCTATTCTATTTTATGCAAAATTGTGATGGGTTGATTCCAGAAATGTTTGATTCTGATAATTAAAATTCCCACGGTCGTGTAGACATCATTGTACACAATGATCACGGCAAATTCTGTTTATTTCCCACGGCCGTTTTGACATCGTCATTGTCTCCCGTGGTCACGCCAAAACTCCGAATAACCCCTACAGAAACGGTACGTCATCATCGTCTTAATCATTCATGAACATTTCCCTCGGTTGTGGAGACATTCTTGTCGTCTTCCGCGTTCACGGTTAATTTCTGATCATCTTCCGCGGCCATGTAGACATCATCCTCTTCCGCAGTCATTGAAACTTTATCATTGTCTTACATTTAATACGTGTTTTCCATGTTAAATTCATATCAATATCCTGGGCCAAAAAAGTAAGAGAGGAGAAACCGGCCACACTTGTTTCAGGTATAGTTAAGACAAGCTGACCATGTGTTTTGGGAGAGTGGCTGAGCAAGTAAACTGTTTGATTCAGTGATCAAATTAGTTTTGAAACCATTAATAGTTTTAAGAACAGGGAAATAAAGAAGTCATGTCGTTATTCCTGTTGTTTAGTGCAACATTCATCGTTTCACTCTGGACCTGTTAAAGCTCTTGTAACTGACATCCACTTTAGACTTACATTTTGTAAACATTCAGAAGTTGGGGCCTTTATGAAAAGGTGTTTTGGGTTAGGACTGGAATTTTATTTTCTTCCTGATTTTTGGGATGGTAACGGATGAGGATTTTTGTTCAGTTCAACAAAGGAAACTTTAGTCTAATTAAAAAATGATGAGTAAAAATCCATGTGAATAGCAACATAAAGACAAACAACTAATAATTAACCCTTAAAGTTAACCATTAGGGATTGTTTGTTGACAGAGGCTGCTGCTGCTGTGTGCCTCAGCCTCACGAGGGTGGAGTCCGAGAGCAACATCACCATCGGAACCTTCAGTGAGGAGAAAGGAGACATCGACGTACACTCGTTCACCAAAGACAGTGAGATTGCCAAGTTTGAAACCACGTTCAGCGAAGTTAGTATACTTCGACAGCTCAAAAATAGAAGGTTGTGAGCCACTAGTGTGGTTTCCATGAAAATTATTTCCATTTAAACGGTCTTAAGAGTCCTACACAATTAAAGTAGGGACATATCAGACTGTAGGTTTGCTATGGAATGGGGAGGGATTTTTTATTTTTTTCCAGATTTTCTGGTGGGGTACGAAACAGGGTTTTTCTTTTCAGGAAATTATAGGTACTTTAGTTTGTTTAAAAATATTCCTTCAAATGGCAATATTGAAAATAATATTGATTTCAGCCTGTATTTGTCTGTTTTAAGTCATAAAATACTGCCATCTGTGATTTAAAGAGTTTAACATTGTAACTTGTAAGGCATGAAGGGGTAGAGCCCTAAGGTACCATTTTTCATTAGTAAAAATTAATTTCTGATTTGCTTTGGTAGAAAAGTGAAACTGCTGGGCCAGCTTCCGTTGTTGCAGCAATCCATTGGGCGGACGTAAAAAAGAAGCCGTATGACGTGTTCATCATCCTCAGCAACTACACGGTGTTGACGAGCGGAACAAGAGTCGCCATCCAGAAGTACAGAACTGATATGAATCTGCCTAATGCCAAGTGAGTGTAGCAATGAGTTATTATTGACTTTAAGTTATCTCTAAATTTAAAAAAGTGGGTCTTATGAATTTATTTAAGGCTTGTAGATGCTTGTAGATGTTATAGTAATATTAAGGTTTAGTTCAACAGTAGATCCAAAAGTTGCAGTCACTAATTATTTTTAGATAGATAAGAGTTAGTATTTGACCATTTTCAAGTTACTTACATGTTTACATATTTTTTCTGAGTGACGTTGCTCATTGCATAAATGAGATGCCTGCTATTTGTTATTGGAGAGGATTCTCTTGTGTTTACTGATATGATGGGGTCTTATTTTGTTCACTTTGTTAAACAAAGTATATTTGTCAAGACAAAAAATGTCGTGGTAAAAATATTTTTATATTTTCTAAGCCTGACAATGGGGGATTAAAATCACATTTTGATGTAGTTTTTTTGTTGGTTTCATTCACTACTCTAGATTTATTCTGGAAGGAGTTTATTTTTACAAGGTTCACAAAGGTTCTGTAACAACCCTACAAAAAGATTTTAAGATTTTTGACTTGGGTCCCCAAGGTTTCAGGTTCAAAGCCTGCTAATCACAAATGAATTTTGACCTAGTAACAAGGTCCCAACATCTAAGCCCAGCCTGAAGTAATTAAAAAACAATCCAGTGCTAGAGACTAGTGAAGCTTGTTGAGCTAACCAAGTGGTTCTCTTTACAGAGTGGTGACTTGCTCTCTGACTGGCAACCTACGCACTCACAAGGACGTCGAAGGACAAAACATGCTGTGTGTCATTGGCTTTGACGAACATGTTCCTCGGCTGATCGAGGCGTTCGCCAAGGGAGCGTTCTAGTGCCTCCACCTGCGTCTACTGAGATTATATCAGTCGTCTACAATCCAGAGTGTTTCTTATTCGAGAATCAGACTTTGCAGTATTTATTGTGTGGTAAAATTCTAAAGAGTGTCTTTGAGGTAAGGTGTTTATTTTTGTATGGGGGGTTTGATTTTTAAATTATGATTTTGCTGTTTTTAACTTGAGAAAACACAGATAAGTTACACTTAATAGAAATTAAGTTACACTTAATAGAAATTGTATTTCGGGTGGTCTAACTTATGTAAGTAAAATCACAATATTTACTGTTAGAGAAACACTCTGTGACGTTATATTTACGTTTAAAAGATTGCCAAAGCCATGTGTTAAACATACTCAACAAGTTACAAACTCTTCGGTTGATCTTCTAAAGTGGAACATGACAAATTGTGCTAGTGTGGAAATTGTGTTTTTGGACAATTGATGACGACAAGAAGATACTTGGAAGTGCTGTGAATCTGCATTTAGAGGTCTGTTCAAAGTTGCAGTGATTAGATATTTATAATCTTAAAAACCACTAAGACAGTAACTTGTTAACATTGCTGTGATACAAACATTGTTGAGAATGTTTCACATAAAACTCATGGATTGTTTTAATTTCGATCAAAACAACTGCGAAAAAACTGATTTTGATAGGAAGTGTTACATAGTTCAAAATATTCTAGAATATTTGTTAATTATTTTTGTACAATCGACATAATCATTTTTATATCGCTGACATGTGTTTAGTTTTGTTGTGATAGTTGATGTTAATCTGAATTTTAATTAATTGTATTATTTTAATTTTCTTAAGTTATTTTTTTGTTTATACATTTCCTTGCTTACATAATACTGAAACAATTATATTTTTATTATTATCAATATTTATCCCTTGCACCATTTGCCTAATAGTGTATTTAGTAGCCTACTAGTTTGGGTAGTATCAATTCCGGCAATAGATTGTTTACACTATTAGTTGTGGATGTTTTTTTAAAACAATTTAATCATTATTTGTCAATTGATAATTTATTATTGTGATTTGTTATTAATTTAATGTTCTTTGTGGTTATTACTCATTAGTACTATTGCTTACATAATTTATATTTCTATGACAAAAACTGTTTGTTCATTTTTCTCAGAAAAGAAAAACCATAATAATATTTTATTTATGTTACTATTTAACTTGTTTGGTTTTATTATGATTTTACCTGTCGCTTGTCCCAAACTTAACTGTTTTGTTGTGATGCAATGCACATTGTGGGATTTAACATCATTTTTGCTGAACTATACTGTATTCTAGTGGTTGTACTTCCCCTGAGGAGTGTATAGCATTGCAAATTTAATGAGTCGTTGAACAGCTATAATTTTTTACATAGTTAGTCAGTTGTCCATTTTAAGTCCGGTTTGAGGAATTTTTTTTAGTTTAACAAGATATTTAATTTGATTCACATATCAACCTATGCTTACCTTTAGGATTTCATTCTTATTCCCTATGGGCCGTCCCCCATAGGAGGCATCCGATCACAATGTACACAAAAAAGTAGATTACTTATTACCAGTAATGATATGCTAAATTTTGTTGTGATCACTTTTAGTTTTATAGTTATAAAGTCGTCCTAAGACTAATTGTCACCCTGCATATATGTTCCTGTGGACAAAAAAGACCTTTACTCAGAATAGACATGCCAATAATATTGTTAGCCTGAAGATGGATCTGAAGTAAGTCTTTAAAACATAACATCATGAAACATACCATGAACTGTAAGCTCCAGAATTGTTGATGAAAAGGTTCTGCCAGAAATTAAACCTTTAATAAAAAACTGATTAAACTCCTTCAAGCAACAAGAATGGACATTGGAACAATAATAAAACTTTACTTAACATTACTACCTTAAGGGGATACGCCACTATCTCCAACTTTTTTTTTATTATTTTATTTTTGTCAACCTAGTTAGTATATTTTGTTTATACTAGACTTAGTTAGAAGATTTAGGTACAAAAATATTGAATTTATAACTTATTTACTAAATTTATATGCGTTTTTAGTTTTTTTCACCAAAATTTTTAAGAATTCGTTATTGAGAATAACTTTTCAACTACTGATCAGAATGACATATTCTATTTATTTCCTGATTCAGGATGAAATAATGAGTAATTCTGTGTATAATCGTTATGGTAACTAAAAAAACCAAATTTTTAGGACACCTTTTATTCAAAATATAAAAAAGCTGAAAAAAATATTTAAAATTTTTGCGTAAACATAAATATTTTTAGTAAATGTAATGCTATAGGGCTTACTATACACACAATCCTGTATTACTATATAAAGAAGGTCTGGTGAAAATTTGAATACTATAAGTATAGTACTAACGGAGTTATTCAAACTTTTGTACAATAATAACCTAAAAAACACGGTATTGAGATAATCGCAGGTGATGTAACAGGTGGTTGGCAGGAGAAAAATTCCCATAACTACACTAATTTATTATTTTATATTATATATAAAAATAGCAAAGTACTTATTTTGTTTTACATAAATGTACCCTACTTTATACCTTCATAATACATAATTATGATACACAATTAAAAGTGTACATATCAGGAACAAAAAAAAATAGTTCAAAATGTTGTTAAATTGCTGGTTGTGGCGTTTTATATTTTATTTTTTTTATACTAGAAGGAGTTGTCAGATTGGCAAACAATTTTAGCTAAATGTTCACATTTAAATGACCTATCTAAAAATGCAACTTTTGGAAAATGTAAAAAAAATTTAAAATATGGCCTACAGATAGTGGCGTATCCCCTTAAGATAAAAATCCTAAGTATCACTAAGCTGTGTAAAGTCTAAAAACAATTGGCTGAATTATTTGGGATTGACTTGAACTGTCAGCGATTCGAAAAATGTTTGGTGAGGGATGACCATATCCAGTTACAGAAAGAGGAAGACGACTCATCTGAATTCTCTTGACTTTGTGAATCTTCAGTACTTTCTGAAGGTGGTTCTTGATTGGTATGGAGAGGATCTGGTTCAATTCTAGGTCCTGTTCCTAAATCTTTCTTTTTCCAAAACTTCATTCGCCTCGACAAGTTTTTACTATTCTGCCTGTTGTCAGAGGCTCTTGGGGAAATTGGAATCTCTTCATCTTCCATTGAGAAGCTTACTCGGTTAATACTCCCTCGTCTTCTCGGATGCCTACTCGTATCATTTTCTGGATGGAATTCTTGGATATTTTCAGAGTGTTGTAAAGAACTTTGTGTGTTATCGATCTCATTTCCTTCAGAAAAACTGACTCTTTTCATATTCGTAGTTTCTAATATCCTTTTTCTTGCTGCTTCTTGTTTTTTCCAAAATTCCAAACTTTTCTCCTCCATGCTGTTATTAATGTTCCCTGTTTGGTGTTTTGAATTTGATTTCCTAAATTTGGATATCTTCCGTTTTGGTGAGTTATTGAAGCTTTTGTTAGCCTCGTCTTCAGAATTTCTAGAGTCCGTCAGGGAACTTGGAATTTCATTGTCTAACGAAAAACTTACTCTGTGATTAGTTTTAGAACTCTGTGCTGTATTATCATGTTGTGATAACGAGTTTTCATTCGCTGAATTGTTATAAACAGTTGCTTGTGGTTTGTTAATATCAGTGATTTTCAAGGGTTCATCCTCATCCCCTTTTGAAATTTTGTTTTTCGATTTGGGAACACCAGCGATTGATCCTCTTAGTTGAACTTCTTTATTACTTTTTGTTGTGGGATCTACTGAAAGATGGGCAAAATTAGAATTTTTTGATGAAGACGGTTGAGATGTGTTTTCATGGTCTGACATCTCTGATAGCCGTGTACTATTATTTGGTAGAATAGAACTAGAAGCTGCATTTGACAATTTTCCACTATCAACACTTCCTTTGGGACTATATAATCCTTTAAAAAGCTTGGATAATTTAGAACCTCGAGTGGTATTTTCTGTAGAACTTCTACCTTCGCTCCTGGAATGTTTCCAACTTGTTCGACTTCCCTGGGACGCCCTAAGTCCCACTGAGGATCTAGGCCGCCTCAGGTCTCTTGCTCTTTGGATCGCATCCTGTAAAGTATAAAGCCATTTTAAATTGCATATACAATCACAGTGCCCTCACTAATACTGTTTAATCAATCCCTACTTGAAAAATAGTGTTAAATCTAGCAAAGTTACCAATCGCTAGTAATGGTCAACACCAGAAATTTCTAACGCAAAACTTATTTACTTGCCTGGTTACGGTTGGAAAAAATCCTGGTGATAAAATATTTATTACACAATCAAAACTTAAATTAATAGTACTGCTGAACCTTCCGTGATCACATGAAAATGAGATCAAATTTTGAATCTCCAAACTCGCCGTCGACACTAGCCACAATTGTCGCCGAACATGAACTAGACAAGGAAAGCGAGCTTCTAAATTTACAATGGGATGATGAGTCTATACTTGTGAGCGTTAGTCTATGGTTCTACTTTTTAATTGCTAGCATATGAACGAACTGATAGGTAAAATAGTTAAGTTATAAATAAAGTTTATGGTGTGTTGTTAGCGTCTCGGACTTCGGTACGAGAGGGATGGGTTAGATTCCCAGCACACCCACAATTATACGGAATTTGACCGCTTTCCCAAAAAGTTGTTGACTAAAACTCCTAAAAAGTGACCAGTAAAAGACTTTGTCTAAAAAGTGCCACCAGCGTAGTAAACTAGGAAAAAAGGTGAGATAAATAAATAAATAGTAAAAATTTAAATACACAACACTCTAGATCTTTACAGGACCAAGAAATACGTTAAAATTGTGTACCCTTGACAAACAGGGTGTTTTTTTTTCAAACGCAACAGTTAAATAAAACTAGTGAGACACTTTTTAAAAACAAAATCAGCTCGTATTTTTTTATGGTATCCCTGTTTTTTATACTTAACTAGCTGGCCCGAGAGACGGCGTCCTGTCCTAATGTGGTTTTATGTCAATGCTCGTTCATTTTCAAGATGAGCTTGTTCGCATGGCTCAATCACGTCCTGGTTGAAGTTCGTTCGCTACGCTCACTCACCTTTAGGTTGGAGCTCGTTCGCTGCGCTCACTTGCCTTCAGGTTAGCTCGTTCGCTACACTAACTCGTCTCCAGGTTGAAGGTCGTTCAATACGCTCACTCACCTTTTGGTTGCAAAATGGCTGTTGTCATAAATTGAAAAAAATAATAGTGCTTACCCTGTTGGTAAACCTATTAACTTTTTAATGCTATTGAACATCACAGAATCAAATTGTTTAGTTGAACCAGCTGTTAAGATTCTTTAATTCCATTTAAATATGAGTACTCATAAGGTTAACATGGGAAACCCCAGAGCCACTGGGGCGAAGCCCTTTTGACGGATCTGCACTAAACTTTACATAAACCATCCTTGAATAATGCTTAATAATGCCTGAAAGTTGCATTACAATCTGTCGAGCGGTTTCGGAGTCCATAAAGGACAAACAAACATACATTGGATTTTATATATATAGAAGATTACCGATCAGCTAATATGTATTGTTCCAGTTTTAGAGGAGGTTTAGTGTTATTGATAATTGTAATTAAGATGTAAGTTTTTTTTACATGCTCAATAAAATAGAGCTTGCAAAAACGCAAAGTTGTGACTTGTTCGCAATAACTTCCCAATAACACTTAAACTGATAGATAACTATGCAACAATGCATATCAGCTGATTGGCAATGAAATACAGAATACAGGCGTACCAAACGTGAGCTTGTTTTGTTGTTAAACAGTGTCTTATGGTACAGTACTTGTAATTTGGGTTGCAGACAAAAAAGGGTAATTAATCTATTATAAGTATTAAAGTTATATTTTTTTATCTAACTGGTTAACACAAAAAATTAACCTCAATGTCAGGGCCATTAACAAGAAAATATGTCACCATCGAGCCTTTTCCTTTAACAAAAACCTCGCCCCTCTTTCTTACTGTGAATCCATTCTTCTCTGCGACTGCGGCAAAGTTTTCTGTCACCTAAAAAGAGATACAGAGAAAAACTGAAGGAATGAATCAATTATACATGGATTTTGATGCTAAAAGGTTTTATAACACTATAAAAACTATAAAGCCACCATACAAATGAATGTTAAAACTTTGGAATCATCAAATTTTTGAATTTTTCAATACTTTTTTTTTACCCAGCTGTCCTTGAAAATCAGGGTGTTTAATAATTGGTCCTAGCTTTAGAAACAGCTAATCTTAGTCAGTAACAGAGCTACACAGGTCATCTCACTCCATTCTACACTCATCGTGCATTCATATTCGGCTTATAATAGTCACACAAAGTTTGTTGCTGCCTAAATTTATTGATGAGGTGATGTGTACAGTAAAGATAAAAAATCTGCTAACTGAAACTGCTAGGCAAGGTACGATATTTATATAGAAACAGAGATAAAATGAGAAATAGTGGAATTTTGTTCAGTTGTTCATGAAAACCCCTGAAAAAAATTCCTGGTGGTGCCTTGTTCTTTTCTACTTTCTCATCCTAGGACACTATGCCCAAGCCCATAACCCTTTTACACATTACTCCTGGCTAAGCCTAGATGGTTGCAGTGTCATCACATAGCTAAGCCATTTGTTATTGGCAAGATTTGAACCTGTGACATTGGGTACCAAAGTATTTCGCTCTACCACAATACCTCGCTCCCCTGCAGGCTCCCTTGCTTCAATATTATATAGTTGAACGCTATAGACACAAATACATAACCTATACAGTGTGTTAAAAAAGTCCCAGACCGGCTTAATATTCTTTCAACCAACAAAGATATGGTGGTACAGTTTTGTATCTAGACATTTATCATGAAAACCTACCCTTTTTAAGCAATTATAAATTTTCCTCTAGGTCCGCGTCCACCTGGAGGAGAGGAAAATTTATAATTGCTTAAAAAGGTAGATGATAATTATCTAGATACAAAACTGTACCACCTATGTTGGTTAAAAAATATTAAGCCGTTCCAGGACTTTTTTAACACACTGTATACCGTAATGTTGTTGTAGCAGAATACCTGAATATGATTCTCCAGACCAGTAGAATACATACGACTGGCCACATTGACTGTGTTGCCCCAAATGTCGTATTGTGGCATGGACGCTCCAATGACACCAGCTACCACTGATCCCATACTTATACCTGGCGATTCATACAAAAATAACACGATATAGCTGTAGAAATAAACACCTTAATTGTGATTCTTTTCTAGAACCTAGCCTGGAATTATTTAATACATTTCTTCAGGCTAAGACTAGTTGTGGCATTATCACTTAAATATCCATAGGTTATTGGCAGGATTTTAACCCAGAACCTCAGGGACTAAAATCCTGCTCTTTACCACTAAACTTGCTCCTGCTTTAACACCTAAATCAAATCAAATCTAGCTAATTTTGATTTTTGATTTGAGTTAAACCTATTGACTCCAGTGATTAAATTTTGTTCTGTTGGTGAACCATTTTCTTTCAAAATGAAATAAGAGTCCTGCAGATACTGGTTTATAAAAGCTAGCCTTTAAGATGTTAGGCATCTCAATGAGTTAAAGAATTAAGAAATGGTATTTTTTCAAAACAATTTTTCATTGTACAGTACTAGAAACTGATAGTTACTCGATCTATAATTACCGGTACTCATTTCCGCAGAAAACATACATGTTATATTGTACACTAATTATTGTAAATTTACATTCACACTGGACTGGCCCTATACTAATGTGGTTTTTTTTTACAAGTATCAGAATATAAATGAAGAGGAAATAACTGATATACTTCCAAACTTAAATTCTTAAATAATATACAGTGTGTAAATTAAGTATGGAAACAAATCTGTATTTTTAAAACCGAAATAGATAGAAATATTCTATTTGTGGCAATAATAGTTAACAAAGATTCCGCAATTTTTCACATGAAAAATATTTTTTTACCCCCCTAACAGGGTAGGTGGTAGGGGGTGACTTATTTTTTTCAAATAGCAACCCCTATTGAGTGACCCCTCATTTTGAAGGGTTTGTCAAAAGAAACAAAATGACGCAAATCCGAGGTGAATATCTCACTCCTAGCCCAAATGGCGGATATTCCAAAATTTGATTTATTGTACGTGAAAAGCACCAATTTCACAAATAATGGAAAGAAATCTGTATTTTTAAAACCGAAATAGATAGAAATATTCTGTTTGTGGAATTGATTGTTGACATAGGTTCCGCAATTTTTTTAATTAACAATATTGTTTCAACCCCTTTAACAGGGTAGGGGGTGGGAGTGACTTATTTTTTTCAACAACAACCCCTATTGAGTGACCCCTCATTTTGAAGGGTTTGTTAAAAGAAAAAGAATGACGCAAACCCGAGGTAGATATTTCACCCCTAGCCTAAATGGTGGGTAATGAAAAATTTAATTTTTGTAAAAAAAAGCCCATTTTGGAATATCCGCCATGTTAGCTAGGAGTGAGATATTCACCTCGGATTTGCGTCATTGTGTTTCTTTTGACAAACCCTTCAAAATGAGGGGTCACTCAATAGGGGTTGCTATTTGAAAAAAATAAGTCACCCCCTACCACCTACCCTGTTAGGGGGGTAAAAAAATATTTTTCATGTGAAAAATTGCGGAATCTTTGTTAACTATTATTGCCACAAATAGAATATTTCTATCTATTTCGGTTTTAAAAATACAGATTTGTTTCCATACTTAATTTACACACTGTATATCCGGTGAATGAAAAACATGAATAGAAATGATGAATAGAAAAACAAACGATTTAAAAAATAACTTGTATCATAATGCAATACTTATAGTAAACTTTTCTATTATTATTTAATATTTTTTGAAGACAAACATCCAAGAAACACTTTTTTACTAGTTATAGTCACTTGTTGAAAGTTCCTTACTAACATTTCTTTTTGAATGATCATACCACAATGTAATGCTGATTTGAAAGATTATAAATTATAATATTAAACAAATAAAATTACTAACCGATTTTAACACCAAAGCTTGTATCATGTCTGATGTTAATCTGATGGATTTGATCCAGCAAAGTCAGTGCGAAGTACGCCATTGCGAGTATATGGTCATGTGAGTTAGCGTTCTCTTGTGTCAATGATAATCCTACAAAACAGCAAATAACAAAAACTTATAATTATAAGATATTTATAGAATTTATTATTAGCACCAAATTGTACAAATATTTAGTAAAGCACCACAGAAAAGTTTGTAAAGTTCATAATAGTATAATAGCCCAATCAGTTCAGTTTTCTTTTGTTCAGGAGATTGCTTCCTCTTTTAACATTGTGAGACAATCTGTTAATTATCAAGGATGAATTTTAAATGTTTTGAATACGGTACTAGCCGAGAACACAGTTTTAATAAATTTCAAACATTGCGGCTGATATTGGCATTTGGGCAAGAGAGGCGTTTTGCAATCCCACATCCAGCATTATCTTTTTATTTTGGCTTTTGTTGAGTGTCACTAACTATTCTAATTGTTGTTATAATCTTTTTTGATAAAACATCTCTAGATTGTATGGATAAATGTATTGTTTTGTAAAAAAAGTAAAATTTATTTTTATTATTTTTTATTAACTATTGTAATTAAAATATATGTGTTCTTTATATTCTTCTAGTTAAAATATCTCCATTGTACAAAAAAAATATATTGTTTGGTTTCTTCATTTGTTTTACCAGACAGTTTATTTCATTTTATTCCTGTTTGATCATTATTTTAAGTGCTGACCAGGTGTACGCCAGCCGCAACAGACGGTCTTAATAATCATTGTTGTATGAAGTCCTAAGAATGTCCATTGTACTCAGCACTTATTTTGTAAATAAAAGCACTTTTTCATTCATTCATTCACTAACTATTCGATACAGCCATTATTACATCACGTTTCATGGTTTTGTGGTAGCATGGAATGTGTGGCCTTATTGTTCTTCTAAAAAAAAGGTGTCAGTATTTTGTGTGACGTGTCAATACCATCAAACCAGGAGGTGTGAGGCAGTGAGTCAGACCAAAAGACCGCAAAGGGTTTGAATTGGGAATGCTAACACAACACTGACTCAATCAATTGAGGTGGTTCGGATTCCACTATAAACTGTAGGTCCCTTAGTTGCCATTAGCTGTATGGGCTATTAATTAACAGCTGTGTCTAAGGAATATGTCGGCCTTAGTCACTAACAAGACTACAAGATCACGCCACTCATCCTACACTCATCTCCATTCATACTTGGCTTAAAATACCTACTTTGTATGGTCGCCATTTCATCGAAAAGTATCTATATCTATACTTATTTTTAATACGCAAGCAGGTTTTTTGTGACAATTACTCCTCCAAAACTACTGAACCGATTGACATGTTTTTGGTGTCACTGGAAAGAGCGTTAACGTGAAGTTGTGCAGGAATCTTTCTTTTTAGGTAAATAATTAGAGAGTGAGGCCCTGGCGCCTTTTAAAGTTTCGTATTTCTCCATAAGGATAACATAGAAGATAATTTGTATTTACAAAAACATATGTTTGTTACTTTAACATAGTCAAAGTCTACTACATAAATAAATTGCTGTGTATTATGACTGTTAATCTATATAAATAAAATTAGAGTTTTGTCTGTACATTGCTTAGAATAATGAACTTTTTGGTTATTTTTACATTTCATAGGTCAGAGAAACCGAATCAAACCTTATCTCAATTTCTGTCTGTCTGTCTGTCTGTCTGTCTGTCTGTCTATCTGTCATTCTCTTGGTAACGCTAAAATACGCACTTTATTACAACTACTCCTCAATAACTATAGCACTGTCCCGCCTGAAACTTATTTTCCAAATACTATACATATATGAGATGGTTTTAGACGTATTTCATCGAATATGAGACAGTTAGATATTTAACAGTAAACCCTTGAAAATCAAGTTTTTGTCGATTTTTGACGTGGAATTTCTGGAAGCCCATGTTAACCTTATGAGAAATGAAATTATTGAATCTTAACAGCTGTTTCAATTAAACAAGTTGGTTCTGTTCTGTGATGTTCAATAGCATTAAAGTTACAAGGATTACCAACAGGGTGCAGCACTAGCACTATTATTTCTTTTACATTTATGACAACAGCTAATTTGCAACCTGGAGGCGAGTGAGCGTAGCGAACGAGCTAACCTGAAGGCAAGTGAGCGTAGCGAACGAGCTAACCTGAAGGAAAGTGAGCGCAGCGAACGAGCTCCAACATACAGGTGAGTGAGCGTAGCGAACGAACTTCAACCAGGACGTGATTGAGCCATGCAAACGAGATCAGATAGTAAAAATAAAAGTAAGCCTACCATTATAGGATCGACCGGCAGACACAGAGGTAATTTAACCTTTTATTGATTGTCATACCGATCCGGAACAACAAAAAACAACATAAAATGAAGCTATGTATAATAGTTTGGCCAGCATATCTTAAAATATGCAAACCAACTGCTGTTCGTTATATAAGAAGGTTTCAACTGAATATTATAAGATCCCCGTGCGTAGAACGGGTACACAGCTAGTGTATACTACATTTCAATCAAGGATTGTATACCTTAAAGTTTACTCATAATGGATCTTGCTACTTTATTTTAATGCTGGGAATAGTAAAATTTTGTTGAGAATAAGCTACCATGATTTATAAAACTTTACTATAATAATTTATGTATTTAAAATCACAAATCTTTGACATTATTAATTCATTTGAAACTAAACAGCTGATCGACAAATCAAACAAATCCTCTACTTCATGTGAATAATGTTGTTACACAAACATAGTTTTTTTTTTTAAACCAATAACTTGATTCTTTTTTACTTGTGGGTGTATTTTGAGTTTGCAGTTATGAAAGCACCAAGCTCGTGATGGGAGAATCGAATACTTTAAAGAATCGAATACAGTGAATTCGTAGCCTCCCCTGTATTCGAATACTTTTACGAATACTTGTATTCGAACACCTTTGGGTATGCAAAGCATGGAAAATGAGTGTGTTATTCTTTTTTCATAATGCAACCGTTCTTTTGACCACTGTTATTTCATTTTACAGTAATTAATTCATTAATATAATTTGTTCAATGTAATTTTAAATTATATGATTTTTAAAAGGTACATTTATTTTGACTTATAATTATTTCATGGTCAGTTACAGTCTTATTAATGTATTATTTTCTATTATATTAACTAATTAACATCTTTAATAATATGTCTTATTCATTTGTATGGATAATTTACATCAGATATGCATGTTATTTTGCCATGTAACTACATAAATCGGTTGTAGTTATAATAAATTCTATTCAATTGCCCTCTACCAGTAGTAACCTAATATTTTAAATATCCAATATATTCTAAATGTTAACGATTAATAATAATCTTATGTAAATTATAGGGCTATAACGAATATATGAAAACAAATGCTGCAGTAAAAACATTAAGTACTCTTACGAATGCTACGGATTCGTAAGATATTCAAAAGGGAATTCAGTAGTTGAAAAAGTGTTGAATACATTTTTGAATCCCCCGAATTCGCTTTCTAGATTCAAGAAATCCTGCAAATTCTGCGGTCAAGAGTATTCACAAAAAATTATTCGTACGAATCTGAAGTATTCGAATCTACGAATACTCGGGCTGTATTCGAATACTATTCGATTCTGTATTCGATTCTCCCATCACTAAGCCAAGTAACTTTATTTAAAGAGCAGCACTGTTCTTACCCAGACCAATATCAGTCATGAGCAACTATATTATATGTTGTTTTAAGTAAGGCTACATCTTTTAATAGGTTACACATATTCATTATGGAAAATTTCGACGAGGGTAATCTTCTTCCTGAAGTCTAAAATCTTAGTATTCATGGAAGTGCTTTTGTGGTTAAAATATTGTTTTTTTAGTTTTTATTTTTTAAAGTGTTTTCTTCAAGCAGCTTTTTTATGACCCTCAAAAGTCAAAATATTCTACATAGGCCTACTGGTTTGATATGATAAAATGTTTAAATGTGTCTTTAAAAATCTTTAAAAAATAACTACCCTATATCATACTTGAACTTGAACACTTATTAATTTACTAAATATAATATACATACAGCTAGAAAATGGCTGGACTGCTTCTCTTCTAAGGCTTTATTTTTACTGTATTTATTTTTTGATGTCGAGTCAATATAACACGATGAATTTGTTTTCTAAATTCATATGTTATTTTGCGGGGCATCGAGCCACACAGGTTCACTAGTAAAGTATAAAGTAACTAAAAGTACATAAAGTTCAGTGTCTCAAAAATAGTGTTGCTACACAATTTCTACAATACCTGAAGCAGCCATGTAAATAGCTCCGGTAGACTTGATCTTCTCTATGGAGGAGAAGAGAGGCTCATTCAGCAGTTCATCGATGTCAGATATGATGTCATGGAGAATTGCAACGTTGCGTTCTGAGTCCTCTCCGTCGATGTTGGTGAACGAGAACCTTGTGATGGACGCGAACAAGATACAAGTGGATAGACACTCCTCGTGATACTGCTCCTGAGAAAAGACCAAGGGAAATGAGGAGAAAGAATAAATAGGCGTGATATAGTTTTGCTGCTAGAGAAATCCAGCACACCACTACTAGGTGCAAGGGTGTTGAGCCTGCTACTAAATCCTGCAAGAGCGTTTAGCACCTGAGTCCATCCTACTAGGGTGATCCTAGCAGCTGATCTCATACTGCTAGAGTCACTTAGCATCTGAATCCATCTTGCTAGAGTAATTTAGCGCCTGGCCCGATCCTATCAAAGTAATCTTAGCACCTGACCCGATCCTGCTAGAGTACTTAGCACTTGATCCGAATAATCTTAACACCTGACCCAATTCCGCTAGAGAAATCTGTAGCACCTTTATAGATCCTGCTAGTGGAAACCTTAGCATGTATAGGTTTGTTGACATTCAGTCTGATTCTAACCTCGACTCTAAGCCAATCCTTTGACTCTCTTGTTTTAGCTCATGGAATATAATACCGGTGGACCCTGAGCTAACCCTGGACATTGAGTTCTTAGTTCTTACATTTAATGAGAGAAAGTCACACTACAGTAGTAAATTAAGGATTTTAATCTTATTCTGCACAATGTATCAGCCAGCAATAACACGGCGAGTGGCCAACAGATTAGTCATTAACATTAGGTACACTACCAAACTATAGCTTTTATTGCTTTATTTCCTTCATTATTATGCACATTATTATGCACGCTTATAACAAAAGCAGATCGTTTATTTACTCAAACAAAACAATCAATTCAACTTATGCAGAGTTAAGAAATCTTCATTTTGTGTCAAAAGAGACAATTTATTTTGTATGTTGTCGTTATTTGTTTTGAATGTAAAATTAAATACTTATTATGTTTATTGCACTTGGGTTTTTAATGACTATAAAATATAAATTATGTATTCTTATTCTTATTGTTGTATATACTTACATCCTGCAGGCGGTCCATCTTTAAGTAATGTTTGGCCACATGGGCAGGTAAGATGTTTTCTATCAGTTTGGTGTTGAATTTCTGGAGTTGTTGGATATTTTCTGAGTCAGCTATAGGTAATGAATAAGTTAACATGTAGTTAAATGTTTCAGGTGATTTTAGTTCAAAATGAATCAATTATTGATGGATTCACTATCAATATCCCTATGTACAATCATTGGGAACCATTTGTCTAGTAATTCATGTTAAGCATTTAGATAGTTAAAAAAAAAAAAAAATTATATAATAACTTTCTAGCTCTGGGATCAGTTTACAAAATTGTAAGGGTAAATAACATATTTGAACCATCAAAAAGCTACTACTTTCTTCCAAACTGAACTAGCTCAGGGTAACTGATGAATTTTTGGTGGTTCTACGGAACCATGTTTTGTAAAGGTAGCATTTTGGTAAAGCATCATGTCATCAGATATATTAATTGTAGCAGAAGTGCTCGCCTCGTAACCAGAAGGATGCCGGTTCAATCCAAAACTGCACCTTTCTGTCTCTGATCATTGAGTTTTTAATGGTTCTGGCCGAACAGCTGATCTAGTCAGTACAAACATAGACAAAAAGAATTAAATATAGACTGTGAGCTGTGCTACGATTACCATAGGTTCTGGCGCACACCGCTTGGAGCGCCGCGTAGTTAAGTAGCTAACTACACGGTGCTCCGAGCGGTGTGTTCCAGAATCAACGGTAACCGCAGCACAGCTGACGGTCTATATTTAATTCTTTTTGTCTATGGTACAAAGCTACACAGGGCATCTCACTATTCTTTACACTCATCAAGCACTCTTATTCCGAAGCTTATACCCACCTCAGAGTATGTCGCTATCTCAAAATATTGAATTCTATAAAATTAAACAGTAGTTCATCCAAGCATTAAGCACTTAAAATATAAGAAACATGAATTTATCTGGTAAAAATGTAAGAACTTATTATAGTTAACATATAATTATATTTTAAGATGTCTAAACCTCTCCTTTTGATCAGTGAAATTTGATCTGTCCACTATTGTTATGTGACAAGTCCATTAAAAATTTTATGAACTGATTAAAAACTCACATCGAGCGTTGATTTTCCAAATAAAGTCAAGTCGGTGAACGATTTCTGATTGCTGACTCTGAATCAGCATCAGAAGCAGGAAGGATGTCAGAGCCATGATCATCAGAAAGTACTTGATAGCAGCTTCAGTGTCCACAACTAACCTGTTCAGACGTAGTTAGTTACATTTCTGCCTCTTTTAACCTTGTGTACCCGTTCGGGCCCCAAAGATCTGTTTGGGGAAAAGTATAATAAAAGCTAGGAGTGAGCCGGTTAAATATAGTACACTGGATTATCCAAGCCCCGGTTATCCAAGCCTTAGGCTTATCCGAGGTAGTTTTAGGCATGTTGTTTATTTTCGGTTGTACAACAATGTTAAATTTTAAGACAAAATAACTAAGTAACTAACCAATATTTTTGTAATTTTTATTTCATGAGTCTTTTTGTAATATGTCTGACGATGCCAGCTTTTGAATGTCTGACCTCAGTGTACAAACTACGACAAGAACTTTCCAAACACGGAAATCAATTTCCAATTGATAGCAACCGTCCCTAATTGGCAATTAGTGTTTGCTTTAGATTAAATAAAACTTTCTAGTTTACTTTTTCAAAAATATATCCTACACAACAGCATAACAAGTTTTAAAACTATTTTTACCATACTCAAATCTAGAATCTTGCAACATGGCACAATGCACATTCAAATTGTAAGATTAAATAAACTACTTTGATAAGAGTATTTAAAGTCTTACTCCATAAAGTAAGGAGCGGTGATCAAAAGCACTGTATATGCGGTACAAAGTCCCAACATTATCATAAACTTGACTCTGAACATGACTATTTGGAAGGCACCAGTCATGATCATCATTAGGATAGTGTACAGAAGTGTATGCTGAAAATAAAAACAATTTGAACATACAGAGAAACGAGAAATGTAACAATATGTAGTCCTACCATAGCGACTCTGACTTAGCTCGTACTAAACTATCTTGTTTTAGTTGTCTACAGTTACGGTACTTCTTGTCTTTAGCATTTTGTAAATTGCTTGTAAATTGATTGGCAATAATTGGAAACAATTGACAATAAGTTTACAACTTATTGTAAACTGTAGTACCTATCTTATTATTTGTCACATCATGTTTCATAGTACGGTATCAAAAACTAAGGAAGAAATTTGAAACTTCATAGTGCCACACTATGTCAGTGGCTCAAACAACCGTCGTTTTGAATTGAAACTATGGTTAAAAAAGTCCATTTAGACGAGATGTCTTCTTCTGTAAATGTCAGCGGTAATAACCCTATTTTCTATAGACATCCCAAGAACAAAACAACCTGCGCAGAAAAGATCACGTGGTTCGCGCCGGTAGGTGTGGCGTACCCTTTAAACGTGCGCGGCTCGAAATGGCTCAGGGTTCTTTTGTTTCTGGGATGTCTATATGACCTAGCATTTTTTCTGGGAGCAGTCTACCTCAGGATAAGGAAGTGTTTTTGCTGCGCATGTTTCATTCAATGGGTTTTTCTGGATGTATCTTATTGGAGTCAAAGATCTTTCTTCTGCTTGTTCAATGTCCAGCAGGGTTCTGCAAAAGTATGAGTCTTCTGATACCTAGATACAAACTCAGAATGAATGTTCGACAAGCAAATAAGACAATGAAGTTTGAGACATTTTATGTTTCGTTCAAGGCTAAAAATTGCTTGAAAGAGTCTGAATTCGTACAATTATATTGTGCATCAAGACTGGATATTTAGCACAATTTAAGAATAAGAATAGAATAAGAATAAGAATATTTTATTTTCTCCAAAAAATACAGTATAAAAATATTTACAATTAGTCATTGACAGTGTTTTACATAAACAACAACAAAATATATGGTAGTTCCATTTTATCAAAAAAAATAAAGTCCATCACTTTACAATGTCAAACTGAATATGTAAAACATAACTAAAAAGTAATATAAAATACACTACTTGGTTTTGTTGTTATTATTTTAATCAAAACAAATAAGATTAATAACTTTACTGGAGAAAATCTAGGGCCTCCAAGGCAAAGCCTGTTTGGAGGTTCCTTCAAATGCAGATAACAGAAATAAAGCGAACTGATAACATTTTATAATCTTAAACAAAAACGGTCTCTTGGTCAAGTTTGTGCCTTCTTAAAACTAATAACAAATTTCATTAGTACTAACTATGGTTTGGAACTTTCAAACCGCGCACCGCACTCTACCACCAGGCGGCTCATGGTACCACAGGTGCCATCACAGCTCATAGCATGCAATGCTTAGTCCCTGTGTGGTAAAGCTATCCATAGTGCGCCCTTATAATGATTGCTTAAATTAAATTTGCTAAAAATCAAAAGTTGTATATCTATGTAGCTTATTTTGAATTATTTTTCAATATGAAACAAAAAACTAATTTCCTGCAAACTAAATAACCATTTCTTCAATTTTTTGGTAAAAATAGATATGTTCTTTGAATTTTTTAAGTCACTAGCTGTGAGTACCCGTTCTTCGTACGGGTTTATTCAAGAATAAGGTTACAAACTTTTTGTAATAACAATGATTAATTTATTTTAACATAATTTAGTACATAAAAATACATTAAAAAACTTAAATCTTAAAAAATATTCGAAAGTTTTAAATAACAAAGTTGGCAAAGATAGCAGAGTTGAAGCGCTTAACATTTGTCACAGCGAAATTACAATATCAAAATTTCAAAAACAACAAATGACATACATTGAAAATAAATATTAAATAGTGAAGAAAAACAAAAAACACAAAAAATTAAAAGGTTGCCTAACTTAATGCCTCTTCATATACTATATTAGTGGTTCGACCGCCTGGGGCATGTATGTAAAGGTTGGTTGGCGATCGCACTCGGCTGCACGCCACGTACAGCTGTCCGTGTGAAAAACATTGCGCGTCACCTAGTTCAATCCCTGCTGTTGACAGTGTCTGACCTTGCGATTTGTTGATCGTCATGGAAAAACATGGATTTAAGGGAAATTGCAGGCGCTTAAACTCAAAGGGATAGTTGCTTGGGATGAGGGGGATCCGGGGGACAAACACCACTTCTCCCGCACCACAGCCTGTTAGAATTTCGGCTTCTATGACATTTCGCTGGAGACTTCGAATTCGAAGCCGAGTCCCATTGCATAATTTAGGAGGGTTTAAATTTCTTAGAAGCATAACGGGAATACCAATTTTAAGATTAAGTTCGTGGGCGGGTAGTCCAGGTGCTGTCACCGAGTCAAGAAACTCTGCCGGGTAGTGCACTGCGTCATCATTTCTTAGAACTGTGTTCACCGACAAATATGTCTTGTCCTCGCTTAGGAATAGGGACATCACTTTCTTATTTATCTTTGTTGAAACTTCATTTTTTGGAGTGAGAATAGCCCTATTGCATAACCAGGCACTGCTCTTGTTTGGGAGGTCTTCAATTCCTGGATAGACTTTCTCGATGAGTTCATCTTGGGTTTGAACAATAACACCAAGAGAAGGTGGTATATCGATAGTTCCATCAACGTTACCCAGCTTTCCATCTCCCAACTTTAACAGAACATTGGAGAATTCTTCCACCTCATTTCCAATATTGGCCCGCATGTTCTTTGTTAACGCCAGTTTGTTCATTATTGGCCATAGGGTAGATCTTTTCATAGAGGCGTTAATTTCATCCGCCCTTGTGCCTCTCACTACAACTGGCAGAGTTTGGCGGAAGTCACCAGAGAACAATACCGTCACTCCACCCATGATCTTATTACTGTTCCTCATATCTTTGAGTGTTCTGTCGAGGGCCTCGATTGTCAGTTTATTGGACATCGTACACTCGTCCCAGACTATTAAGGAGGCTGCTTGTAGAACTCGTGCCATGGGAGCGCTCTTCGATATAGAACAAATCGGGATGTCCATATGCTCTACATTTATTGGGATTTTGAACATGGAATGGGCAGTTCTTCCACCTGGCAGAAGGGTTGCTGCAATGCCAGAAGAGGCCACCGCAAGAGCAATCTTACTGTTTGATCTAACCTTTGCGAGAATCAGCTTTATGAGGTAGGTCTTTCCAGTACCTCCAGGAGCATCAAGAAAAAACATCTTGTTTCTTTGTCCATTTATGCTCGTCAAAACTTGCTCATACACTTGGCGCTGCTCCTCGTTGAGAGTTGGCGTACACTGTTCAATAAACCTAATGAGTTCGGGATGGTCGTAACTTGTCTCTCTGATATAATCATGGTTTAACTGATTGACATCTATGGCTGGTACTGGTAAGTTGTAGCTTTCGAGCCCAAGTCCTCCCATGCGAGTGATTGTCTCTTGAATGCTTGCTAGGCACTGGTCATATATGATAGGATTGTTTTCAAAGGTGGTGTTAATGTCGACTTGATGTGCAGATCTCAAAAAGTCCTCTGAGAGGGAATCTCTGAATCTGATCCAGAGCTCAAGAGGGTTGCTCACATTGCAAAATACTAATAAGACACTGAAGAGATCCCTCAACTTGGTGGGACTGTCAGAAACAGCAGCTTCTGCAAGAGTGCCCTCCCAGCACGCATCATCCTCTAGTAAACCAAGGGCACGGCATGCGGATTGGAAATTTGGATGGAGCACACCATCAACAGTCTTGAGATCCTCAAAAGATGTTGGACCTCGAACAGTGTATAGGAGGAGTCGGAGATGGTAACGCTCACTGCAGCTTGGATGGACAGTGTACACCCTACCGATGCACGGATCTTGTCTCACGTCAGGATGTCCTGGTACTGGTTGTCCTCTCCGCCTCCTGGACCAACCTCTTTGTTTAGAGTATGTGTAATAATAGGGCAACTCGTTGTAGAGGAGGGTTCTTGAAAAGGCGTCCGTCTGGCAGAGATTGAAGAAGGCCAAAAGAGTTGTACTTTGGTCCATTCTTTCCCGAACATTGCCTGGCTGGAAATATACTCTTTGCTCATTTGGAAGGTGGACCTCTAAATGCAACACAGCGGGAAACCTCTCATGTATAGGAAATGATAAAATTCTCCATACCGCCTCAGATGTGCATATATACCGACCACTTTGGTACATTTTAATTTCGTCTGTGTCATTACTTACTGCAAATGTGGCCTGGTCACTGCCCTTGTTTATGTACTTGCAGATGTACTTTATAGATTTTACACTGCTACAGTACTCAACGTTAACATGTGTTAGAAATGTTCGGGACAATACAGGCGAGTAAGGTACTACCCATCGGTTGTCCATAGGGATTTCATCGTTACCTACTCTGATTAGGACATGATGGCCTCCATCATCTGGGGAGCGCCTTCTGTATGTTGGGTATCCATTGTCTCCTGTTGCCGTTTCATTGACAAATGGTCTAGGGTATCTTTTGCTACAGTGACCATCCTTCATACAGGGAAGCTTGCGCTGTCGCACATTAAAAGCTCCGCATGGTCCGTGCAGCATGTGAGTCTTGACTATATCTGCAAGTTCAGGATCAGTTTCAGGATTTGGAAGCTCTGCAGAAATGACTTGATCTATTCTATTTGGAGGAATGGATTCTTCAAGCCAAATCAGGATATGAGCGTGTGGAAGACCACGTTTCTGCCATTCAACAGAGTACATGTAGCAGCGAACTGAGCCATAAATCTGGCCTTTCATAAGAACAGCAATCATACAGTTAAGCTTCAAATGAAAAACTCGTGATACCACATCATACCGGTCGTGAGCAGACTGCCTTTCTCCAATTACACTCGTGATTTCTATCCATTTTGGATTTGTTGTCATTGTTATGAAAAGTTCTGGACGACCAAACTTCCGAACATAGCAAAAGGCGTCCTGTGTGCGAGAATGCATATATCTAGGACCTCCAGTGAAGGTGGCAGGTAAAATTATCTTTTGCCCCATTTCTTCTACGTTGTCGTCTCGTCTTAAAGCGTCTTGAAGGTGTATGTAATTCTCTGCTCTCAGTTCCTTTTGGTGCGTACGAAGATACAGCAGCCTTTCACTCTCAACTTTAGCGTACATGTCCACCAAGTACTGGTTCAAAAGCTGTTTGAATTTATGAATGTGATTTGCTTCACCTTCTCTAACCATAATGCGATAGGCGTAAAACTCTCGTGAGCTAGTTTTCTTTGTGGTTGGTTGTTTAGTAACCGGGTTTACATGATATAAATTGAAACTATATCCATCTTCGCCTCTACAAAACATAAGGGGATATTGTAGGGCATCATAAGATCGGTGGGTTTCATATATTCGTTTCAAACCCTGTTCTCTTGAATTTAAAATGATGTCTCGATGGTCACTTGGATCCCCAATCATCAAAATAGCAACCTCATTGACTGTTGGTTCATTGTATCTACCTGGGTGGTCCCCTGCAGGGCGTCTGTCGGCTCTAATAACAATTTTGAAATCAGGTGAATCTACAGGAAATGTTTCTAAAGTAGTTTTGAAGCTGAGCAAGTAGGCGTTATTATTCTGAAGCATGTTTTGCAAAGCGGCCAACATGTCATGATCAAGGTCTTGAAATAAACTTTGCCTTCTTTGAAGCTGGACTTGGTCATCCCCAACAAAGTAAATCTGAAGGTAAGACGGCGGAAGTCCAGGGGGTGGCAAAAGAGAGCCGATCAAATGGTACACTTGTCCT